TCAATTCTTTCTCAACACGCTTACGCCAGGCATTCCATTCATCCATAAGTCTACGACGATGTGCTATCTGTTCTTTAGATACAAATGTTTGCACTAATGTATCTTCTTCATCAAATTGTTTAGAATATTCTCGTAGATTCTTTTTGATTTTCTGTTTTTGTTCATTACTCAACAAACTTTTAGGGCGAGGTCTCCATAATAATTGTTTGAATTTATCTATTAAATGTTTTTGTAATGATGTGCCTTTGAAATCCCATATTGTGTATCCATTATCATTCTATTAATTAATTTATAAATTCAAGTTAATTAATCATCTTTTAATGTGAGCTATTTAATATATTTTTTTTGTTTGAGAAAATTTTATTACCCCTTGTCTCCACATGCTAGAACTACTTATTACATATCGACCAGTAGGATCCCATTCAATATCAGTTACTCCATAATGTTCTTGTGTGCTCATAAGTTGAATAGATGCAGCTGGATCATTCTTTGTTGATGATTCTCCTCGTTCACCACTAAATCCTTCAAAATCCAAATCCCAAAACTCTAAATCAAAAACTGACTGTGATCTGAGGGTAGCCAAAACAAAATGTCGACCATGTGGAGACCAAAATATTGAATTTGAAGTTTTTTTCTCCAAAGTTTCTAATAAATTTGATAAGAAAATCAAAAAAAAATTTTAGGTAATTCTGAAAAAAATGATATCAGTTGACTTACTAATAAGTTTAAAATTAGCAACACTGCTTTTCCCAGGTTTGGGTTTTTCAAGATAATAGAAGGATACATTTGTTCTTGATGCAACTCCAGGTTGTCCATAATTAGGATCATTTGTTGTTATAATTGCAAAACGGTCACCATTTGGTTCCCAAGTGAAAGTTATCACAGTATCTTTGATGAAAAAATTTTTAAAAAATTTTTTATGAACATATAATCAGATATTAAATAATTCTGTAAATTACCTTTTACCTTTTATTTCAATTACTTCAACAGGAATATCTTTTTCTCTTATTCTAAAAATTTCCAAAGTAGCATAAGTTGATTTTTTGGTTTTGGTATGTCGATCAACTTTAACACACAAAAAATCTCCATTTGATTGCCAATACAACTTACACTAGTAGTAGTAACAGTGGTAATAATAATATTATTATTATAATAATATAGAACTATGTTTGT